CCCATTTCCCCCCCCCCACCCCACCCCCTGACCTTCCCCCACAGCGCCCTCCGCTCTCTCCTCTGGGGACTTGCAGAGCTGCAGCAGGCGGCACAACCCAAATGACAGGTGAGAGAGTTCCAAACTGCCAAAATCCAAAGTGTACAAGGAAAGAAAAGGAGCATGTGATGGGAGGGATGGAAGTCAATGTGGAAACACTGCTTTATGGCATCAGCTCTGAAAGTTACACACCCATTCTTAATATATGTCAGATACTGTCTCACCTCAACACACCCAGTCTCTGCTTTCATTGTGAATGTTCTGCTCCTCCAAATATTAGAGAACCCCTTAATCCAGATGATGAAACTTGCGAGTGGATACACAAAGCTCTGGTATTTACTAGTCCAGACTAAACTGATGCCAGTAAAATGAACTGAAAAAATGACAGGACAGAACTTCCACCACAGAGAAAAACCCCAAAATGGCATTCTATCCTCTTGCACCATGAATGCTTCCTACATCTTCTGCTGTACAACTGAACTATTGACTATCGTTATTTCCCTGACAATGCACACTTCTGAAGTCCTCCAAGCAAATTTCAGCAACAGACCTGTGATATTTAACACTGAAAAAAGAACAAGAAGGTTTTTCAAAGTCAGCACTGAGGGGATTAAAAAACAAATGTGCAAACTCCTTAAGTAGCCACTCTGGGGGACAAACTGAGACTAGGAAAAATATAGTAAATAGAGAGTGACTAAAGTCAAAGGGAAGCATCTCGACTTCATCAAGAAGCATCCCTGATACACAACAATCTCTAAGATGCAAGCATGACAAGTCATTAAAGTGGGCCCCAATTTTCACTAGCAGTGATCCTTCTACTCAGGAACTCTTGAGCATATAGACAACATTTTATAGAAGCAGGGCATTGACTGCAGTGGTTCCTCTGCTTTACCTATGAGGTTAGGGTGTTAGGTCTGTGGTGCATCAGGGCTGACGGTACCCTTATGTAGAGTTTAGGTTATGGGTAGTCTCCAAACCATAATATCCATAATTTGCATCGGGACAGTCCTGACTCAGGCAGGGAGTTAGACTAAACGACCTCTGGAGGTTCCTTCCAAACCTACTTCTCTATGATTCTAACTGCACACAGCAGGTGAGACCTTTGGCCTTGCTCACCTATCTTGGAACAGCTGCACTGGTACCAAAGATGAGCTGGCCACAGAAGCAGGGAAAAGGGTTAAGCTCAGGATGACATTTCACATGCACCATTAGATCCTCCACAATGAACTTCAGCTTCTTGCCCCAGGAAAAGTTATCCCTCGTTAGGTCTGTGAGAATGCTCTTACTCTACACCAGGTGCCCTTCTTGGTTCATTTTGAAGGAAATTAAGTTGCATTGCTTAACTGAAGAACAACGGTGTCCTCACAAGGAACTTTACTACACTTGAAATCCATTAGGAAGTGAATTCCAGTCACTTTCTTTAGCCAGAAGTGTATGCATCTAAATCCCATGGCCCAGTCTGGATGAAAGGGGAAGCCCCACTGAAATCTGAAGAGCTGATGCAAAAGCCTGTGTTAAGGAGAGGGAAGAAGGAGGAGTGCTGTGAACACAGCTCTCCAGACTGAGCAGAAGGAACCCCTCAGATGATACCCTCACAAGTCAAACCTGCTAGCCCTTGTCCTTTCCCTTAGTACAAGCTCTTTATTCATGTAGGGGACCATTGACAACAGACATGGGCTCTACTGTGGCTCTTGTACCAGCAAGAAGCTGAAGCAGACTATGATTCAAGCAGTCAGAACTGAGTAAATGTTGTGAAGCTCTGGGTTTCACTAAGTCCAGTTGCTTGTTATATGCTGGGCTTCAGGTGGATGCCACAACACAGGGGATCCATGGGTCTGCCATGCAGGTCCATCGTGGGAGCCTCCACAGAAGGAGGTGTCAATTGCCAGGAGGTCTGTGGAAGTCTCAACACTCTGAAGCCAACTTTGTCAACCATCAGTTCAATGAGCTGTGCCACTATTGAGAGCCACAGTCAGAGATCCCAACCTGAAAACATGACTTGTGCATACCATGCAGTCCAAATCACTGCTGCTTTCCCAGTGGAAGAGACTGATAAAGTCCAAGTGAGGACATACCTAACTAGGCTACTCAAACTGCAGACAAACATTACCCTGCCTAATAGCTAGCTTCTGGTTACTGGTACTTTAGGGCTTAAACAACTGTCACCCATGCTAAAGATGAGACACACCATCACGAGGCAGCTTCTGTTACAGTGATGTACCAACGAAGCTGAGTCTTGAGCCCTATTTTCCAAACACATTAATTATCACAAATTGTCCTTTTCCCCTTGAAGGGGGCTGATAGGGGCTCAGGTACTGCAGAGGCTAGGAGTCCAGTCCACCAGGACAGCAAGGTTTCACTGATCATGTGAAGAGGCTGCATCTGTCTCTAACCTTCCACAATTAAGGTCTGCTTTTTTATCCATAGAAGGGCATGAAACTACCTAGGAGTCTTTAGCCCCTTCCAACCCATTGAACAAAGATCCCCAGAATTTAGAGACAGCCCTTATCTCATCAGTGGATAACCGCTATTTCCCCAGACTGCCCTCTGCAGCCTTGCAATGGTCTTAGCACTCACACAATTAGCTTATTACCGTGCCGATTAATGAGAGCACCGAGGTGCACACAACATGGGAGATGCCAGCAGTCATTAGCTGCTGATAGCAAGTAGAGCAGGTCACTCATTAGTTAATGTCTATCAAGTGCTAAGTACTATGGAGGATGGCAGCTCCCTCCCTGAGCAGGCACCAACATGATTTACTCACTCATCCCCAGGCGCAAGTTGAGCCAGCTTCGAGGGGGGGAACCATATTTGGTCAAGACTGAGTTCATAGTGTTCTCCCAGCAAAGCAAAGATGCAGGTCCTTTGTCTGCACACTCCTGCTGTCCCTGGAAGCAAAAGGAGCCCAGTTAATACAGTAAAGGGGGCCACACGGAATGGAGTCCTTGAAGTTGGTTGGATGCCCAGGAAGCTACTTACTTGGGGCTCTGCTCTGCTCCGCTTCCCTCCACAGATTCAAGTGCGAGTTTGCTTCTGTGGGCTACTCCACTTGGCTATGATAAACAGCATGCATTTGGCCTCTGCCAGTTTGTTTCTTGAGACCCAAAGCCCTCTGGGTGCTGTATATTTTAGCACCGGATTCTCAAAGACACTGCATTTGCGTCCCCATTCAGTTTCCTTTTATCCTTCTCTGCTGTCTCTAGCACCCCTCCTCCACCCCCCACCTTCCCCAGACAAACTATAGTTCAGGCACCACCAGCCTCCAGCCCATAGTTTCTGTCACTCGCAAGGTAGGAAGGATTTGAAGTTTTACAGCTGAGTGCAGCCAGACATTCCCCTCCCAGCCAGATATTTTCATCATCCAGCTGAAGCTGAGCCCCAATCCCTTAGAAAAGCTCCAACCACAGGCCATTGAGCATCACAACAGCAGCAGGATGGGTTACCACAGCAACCAGCTGCTGCAGGGCAGAGAAGCATCATTGTGCCCCTTGCTCCTCCCTCCCTCCTCCTTTCGGATAGGAGGCTTATTCAGCACTGACATTTCACAGAGCAGACTTACCTTTCACAACTGAAAGTTTGTTTCCTCTGAGCTCTCCCCACCTCCCCCACTGGCCCTTGTTTTGCAAGAAAGCCCGGGGTATGCATTTAACTTAGCAGGGTCTGTCTGAGGAGGCCCTGGCTTTCACATGCAATTTTTTCCTTTGCTGCACAGATGGCCTCTATATTTATTTTAGCCACTGTTCAGGCTAGATTGCCAGCCAAGTCTTTCCTGTGCTGCCAGATCCAGCCAGATGGGGAGAATTAAGACTGGATTAAGTTAAAGCTTTAACTCTTTAAAAGGCAGCAATGCTGTAGATAGACTGTCCAGGGCCTTTCCAGTGAAGTTGGCCCCATTACTGAATTTTCCTTATTCACATGCATTTGTTTCTGGGTCATTAGTGGTGTCAGCACCTTTCCCTGACAGACTACGCAGAAATCATCCTGTAGTGTGCTGCTGGGTTATGCAGAGCTGGTTTGACAGGCCAGTTTAAGAATCTGACATTCAGCAGAAGACCACATGCTTCCTCCTTTCAAAGCTTGGGTTTCTGTGGAGTTGACACCCTTCCCACAGGATAAAAGTCCCACAGATTGCAAAAAGGAACAATTTTTTGTCTTTGAGCTACGCTGATCCCCACTGAAGTTTGGTGGTGACACACAGGCCTTGCCTGCCTGGGAGATGGCATGTTAACTCTCTTAGCAGAAGCCACGCTGTGTGAAAGTAGCCTGTGTGAAATTACAGCTGCATTAATGTATTTATACTATAAGTAGCAATCATATTGATTTGGAAGGACTTCTTTGAGGTGACTTTGTTGGACTTTTTGAAAGGTTCTTGGTTGGACTTTTTAAAGCAGGCTTGTCCAACATGTGGCCCGCCAAGCCATTTTCTCTGGCCTGAGGCCCCTCACTCGGGACAGGCAAGGAGTCCTGGTGCCTGCTCTGTGCTCCACAGCGGCGGCAGCAGCAAGGCAAGGCAGGCAAGGCCGGCCAGCTGGCCCCAGCCGGCAGGGAAGGGAGGGGAGCTGTTTACCCCCGTGGGACCAGGCTCATCACGTGAGCCGGGTGCTGCCACTGCTGCCCCAGCTGCACCCGACTGGACAAGCTGGGGACAGCGCCTGCAATTTCTCCTCTGGCTCTGCCCCTTGCCCCTGGCATGCCGGCGGGGGAGCTGCAGCATGGCCCATGCCCTGCTCACATGGCTTGAGGCACCAGGTCAGTTCCCGTGTGGAGCTGGAGGAGCCTAGCCCAGAGACACTCTAAGTCCAGCTGCCTCCTCACCGCCCACTTCAAGCCAGCCCCGCTGCCCTGCCCCACAGCAAGGCGGTGCCTGCTCCCCCGGCCAGTCTCACCCCTGGGCGCTGCAGATCTCCGGGCCCGGCTGTCCATGTGCGAGGCCCCAAGGGGGCCGCTTCTCATGTGCTGCTGGGGATGGGTGGAGCCTGTCTGGGTCTGCACCAGCTAGTAGAAGTGGCGGTGGAGCCGTGGGCCACTTGGGACAGGACAAGCCTGCACTGGTTAGTCCCAAGCAGCACATGGCTCCGCCGCCACTTCTGCTGGCTGGTGCAGACCCAGCCGCCTCTGCCCAGCCCCAGCAGCACATGGGGACTCGGTTCTGCCCAGGCGGGTCCTGCAGCACCATGTCAACCCGGGCATGGCACCGGCAGGCCGGGCAGGCCCCAGGTCAGCCCCAGCCGGGCCCCTTGGCTTCTCCAGCACCAGGTCAACCCGGTTGTAGCCAAGCGGCTCCTGCAGCACTAGGTCAACTGGGGCACGCAAGCCATGTCAACCAGCACCATGTCAACCCCTGCAACTTCATTTGTGTCAAAGGTCACGTGACATCACTTCTTGATATGATACCACTTCCTGTGAGGTCTCTGAATATAGCTCGCTGGCCCACTGGGTGATAAAAAGTTCATGATCTGGCCCCACATTCAAAAAGGTTGGACACCACTGTTTCAAAGGGTTCTTGGCTGGAGTCTTCTCTGGAGTCTTGGCTGCAGGTTTTTCTGGAGCCTTGTCTGCTTTCTTAAAGCAAGTGTCCAAGGAAATTTGGACAGATGTTCTCCAGGGAGATGGGCGATGCAGAGAACTTGTTCACTGGCATGGCGTTGCATCGGATCAAGCGTTGTAAGTCGAAGTTGATGTCATAAAGCTGAAACAGGGTGTCAATTTATAAACGTTGCAAGTGCAAAACATTGTAACTCACAACTTTGCAAGTCAAGGACTGCCTGTATTGCCATTTACCTTTCCAAGCACAACTGATTCAGAGAAAGCTTGGTGGCACATAAGCTAGATGGAGCAAGAGTAAAATGGACAAATGCTTTCAGGGTTTAACAATAAAAACATGCTCCAAACAAACCCAATAGCCAAAACAAGTGAGAATAAAAAAGTTTCCAAAATAACAACAGGGAGAAAGTGCCAAGCCTAAAAGCTGTTGTGTGTTGCAATGCATTTAGTGAAGACTTGAGGACATCCTACTCACTGCAAGTTAACAGTTAGAACTACACTGTATTTCGTGTTTCAGCCCTGATATTAAGAGCACTCTCTCACAGTATTATTTTTCAGGAGCAAGTATTTTTGGAGTAAATCTCTCCAGCTAACATATCTGCTACTAATAGAACAACTTCATCTTTATGCTGGCTTGAACAAAAGATGCCAAACAAGTTGATTAAGCTCATGGCAGACATTGCCAAAGTTGATTAATAATTTCTTTCTAGATTTTCCTTTTTAATAGCAAACATCACTGAATGATATAAGTACTGTTTTCAACCCGCTGTACATTCAAGGCCACAGCATTTGACATGACTCAACCCCCTCTAGTGGCCATATGTAGGAAGTTATTACCTTGGACAAAGTTACAAAACATTTTTTTTTGTAGATGATCCAAAGATATGAACTGGATATAAATGCAGAAACAGTTTATCACTGTAAACACCAACAGCAAGGAAGAAATTTGGGGTGCCACAAGATTATAAGCATTTCAGCAGAGAGAACTGTAGCTGGCCAGAGAGCTTAAAAAGACAAACAGAGGAAAGACCCCTTCCACGACTCCCTTTCCCTACAACTAACAGAACACTGGAGAATTTCCCCTAAAATATACCCTTCTTGGATAGTGGAGAGTGAGCTGCTCTCTGTATGTGGGGATCAGTGAAGAGTTTGAAACAGATAACTCAAAACTGATGTTTTTAATAGACGTTTACTATAAAACACAGAAGTACATAATAAAAATATAAAATAACAACATTGGAAGGAGAACGTGACAACATCCCAACTGGACACTCCATCTTCCTCATACAGTCTGTGCTGCAGTGTCTTCCAGGAATGGGCCAAGTTCCTGGGAATGTGACCTGCCTCTTAGTGAAAGAAGTCCTGCAATGGAAGGCTTGGAGTAGGGACTATGGCCTGCTATACTCTCTTCTCTGGAGGTGTTTCTTCACTTTCAGCTTCCCCGCTCCTGAAATTTGGTAATTATACTCAGAAGTAACATATGGGATCTCCCCTTTGATGCCCTGCTGAAACACACAAACAGGAACACAATAAAGACACCATGGTGTCTGAGCATTATTCTGTTCCCTTTCATTTGCACAGACTGACTGTATCAATTTCCCCACTCAGTAATCTCTGAACACCACATTTCTGAACACAGCTCACTTTGCAAAGTCTTAAGCATTTCCACTTGTCAGTTTAAATATTTTAACACTACCATGATTTCATGCGAGACCTCAGGGCTCTAACCAGCTAAGAGCTGCAAGAGTGCTGATTCATACAGGCTTCAGAATATGGTACATGTAATGCAAGGAAAAGCAAAAGCTATATCACATTTATGAACATCTTTGCAGGGAATCTACCCATGCAAATGCCTCTTACCTGGTTCAGGAGGACACAGCTGGGAATGGCAATATTCCCAAGCAACAGGCAGTTCACTACTCTCAGGTTTTCAGGAGGCACTGGGGTCAGAATATGGTAAAGTTTCTTCTCCATCTCAACGCCTCGAACAATTCCTTTAAAACACATTAAAAATTCAGTCAGAAACCTTCTGCAGGCTGTAGTCATTGCACAACTGAAACTCTCTTAACGGAATGATACTTTCCCAGTGCAGTACCTCTCATTTAAACAAGAATCAGGCTCCTGATCAGACTGGTAACAGAATTTTTGTGCAATTTTTATTTGTAAGCTCTCTCACCTGTTCTGATCATGATCGAACTCCAAAACCCTAGATAGTGACTCCAGGCTGATGCTTTCTATGGGCAGTAACAGAATCTTTAGACTTGTAAACAACACAGCTGGTTACTTTTGAACAAAAATGAACTTATTGTAATACAGCAATCAGGTGAAACAGCCAGAAGTCGTATAACACAATACAAAGAAGTAGATTCCAGTAGCAACTTTTTTTTGCTATGAGTGATAACCAGGAATCCATGGAAAAACACAGATTTTCTCTTTTTAAGGATTAAAATGTGGGAAACTGCGAGTTTCCCCTTGCAGGCTGGCCGGGGCTGGGGGGAAGGGCGATCAGGTAGGGGCCACCACATATATGTGTGCACACATATGCACGGGGCAGCAGCCAGGCAGCATGGAGGGCAGCTCCTACAACTCGTTCCAGGTAAGTCGGGGGTGGGGGGGGTGATTGAGGTCCCCATACTGAGGGAGGGTGTTGTGCTGGGGCTGGGGGCACTACCTAGCTGCAGTG